TGTTCCCGAGTAATTTTTGAAAATCATTTAAAATTACTAATGTATCCGTCCGAATTTGTAAGCGTTGAGGACGCACAGTACGTCCTTCAATTAAACTGCCTAGATATTGAAAAGGAGAAATTTTCTGTACCTTTTCTGGTGCAATACACAGCTCCATCATTAAGAGAGAGTGGTGTAAGTCTGCAAAAGCTTTATGAAGAGTGTCTACATTCTCATGAGCCAGCAAGATGTCATCCATATAATGGATGTATGCCTGGGGGTGTGATGAAGAGTGTCTGCATTCTCATGAGCCAGCAAGATGTAATCCATATAATGGATGTATGCCTGGGGTTGCTGCTGCCTTATGGGGTGGAGAGCTGCATCCGCAAAGTCCTGGCATAGCGGACTGTTAGCCATTCCCTGCGGCAGCACTTTCCAGCAGTATCTCTTCGCCGGCTCCTTAAAGTTTATTGCAGGGACACTAAATACAAATCGTTTACAGTCATCTGGATGCAAAGGTATCGTGAAAAAACAACCCTATTTGGTTATAGATAAGAAAAACCCGGCTCAGCAAACCACTCTTCCCTCACGCCCGCGTTTCTTCAGCGAAAGGGCCCGTCCCCAGCCGGCGCAGTTGCTGGTTCCGAGCCTGGCACCCCGGCTTAAAGCCGCCCCGAAACGGCAAATTGGCCAGTGAGGGGAGAGGCGGGGCACCGAGACACCCTATGACGCCAAATGGGCCCACAGCTGCGAATGGGCCTGCCCAATGCAGGGCTGCAACATGAGACGCCACAGGGCATCGGGTGGAGCCCGCAGCGATTTGCACAGAGAGCACAGGTGCCACCGGTCCTCCGTAGGATATTTAAAGGCGACAGATAAATTCCTTTTGCAGTTAGAGCGATATAGTTACGCTTCCATTTGACCTGGCTTCTTACAGCGCCACATCATACAACATCTCGTACCGCTGCGCTTATTTCAGGTGTCTTTGATCACGTAAATCCCTCATCTATTGACTAGTTTCACCGTCCAAGCACGTCCTAGAAGCCGCGGGGTATTGTGGGTGCAGTATGCAAAACACCGGG